TGCAGAAGCACACAATCCCTTTTCCTCCACTCTCCGCTCGGGATTTGGGGTGCAAGAAGCACACACACCTGGAGTGATTTTTCAAGCCTCCAGGTCCAAGATTCGAACCACCCTAGTATGCTACCTGCTGGTCCTCCAGGTCCAAGATTCGAACCACCCTAGTACGCTACCTGCTGGTCCCACGTACGGATTCTCTGTGTGTGTACATACCCATGCAACCACCATCAGATGGAGCCTGAAAATACGTCCTGTGCACGGGAGATTCACATCCCTCCCCAGTCAACACCTTCCCCCGACCACCAATCTGAGCAAGACCCGACGCTCCAGCAGGGCCTGGGCGTGCTCTGGATTCTACACACGGAGGTCCAGAGTCCCACTCCGCAACCTGCTTGGTCATCACGGGATTCCTGGGGCCTCGGTGGGCTGTTTTCAGGCTACCTGGGTGGGCAAGCATGTTTAGGACAAACCCGGACCAGAACAGGGAGAGAACACAAGGACAAACTTGGAAGAATTCTTCAGTTTTAAAACAACCAATTTTTTTTTTTCTTTCTTTCCTTTTTTTTTTTTTAAGTTTTTGCTACAGGATGTGTGCGCTCACGGAGAAAGAGAATGATAAAGAGAGGAAAAGTGCGAAATCATCCCCAAGAGGGAACAGCCATGCCACCATCCCTTCTTCTCCATTCTCTTCTCAGGATTTTGGGCACGCATGCACATACGGCTGGGATGATTTTCAAGCTGCTGGGTCTGGGACTCAAACTGTGGTCACTCACGTGGGAGTCCAGTGCCTTCACCACCACACCCTCTGCTGCCCCACTTGGTCCAACTTTTAACTGTAAAACTTCTCTTCCAGACTGGGCCTGTTTGGCTTTTGAATTTTATTTTTTTTCTTTCATGAGAGTGAACTTGTATGTGCATGCACAAGATAAGAGAGACAGACAGAAAGAGACAGACAGACACCCTCGATGGATCCCGTCACGCCACCATTCCCTTCCTCCACTCTTCCAGCTAGTCAGGATTTCTGGCCCAGCATGTTCTGACTCGGGATCTGAACTCACGGTCGCCATGTGGCTTCCAGCAGTGCAGAGCAGTCCACTACCCGCAACAAAGTGCCTGACCTGCTTTCCAAGGTGCTCGCGTTCACCTGAGGGCTTCCGCCGCCGAGGTGCACGTGCCTACTCTCTCCGTAAAGGTCCCGCCAGCAGTCCACACCGTGTCCTTGGGCCCTCGCGCCTCTGCCACAATTCTGTCTCCGAAAGGGTACTGCCCGTCCAGCCCCACACAGCCAGGCCTGTCATTCCTTTTCTTGTTCCTTGGGTTTTGGAACTGTGAGGTTGGGAGGAACTGCAGATTGCCCAGCGTAATTACCCATCCTATTCTGTCTGAAAGAAGAGGTGAGACTCTGCTGCAAGCAGGATTAACGGAGGTGCTAGCACAGCAGCAGAGAGGCCCCAGTGTCGTTCTGCGGGCTACTGCCGAAAGAACTGAGATCCATCAGGTAATCGGATACGCTCCCACGTGAAGTACATCTCTGACTCACAGAGCTTTAACGTCACAGGGTATAGGGTACTGCCCTCTGCTTGCCGACACTGGGAACTGCTAAGAGCCATTCCAGGAACCACTCCACCTCCCTGGGCTCATCTGGGAAGCACTTTTATCACACATGACAAGGTTCTCTGAGCCCGGCTCATGATAACTAAATTAGACTTCATGCTCTCAGTATCCTGCTCCACTTCAAGCACATTATCGAAATTGATAGCTCGCCCAGCACCCGGCCACTCCAGCCCCTCGTCCTCATTTATCCCAGGATGTCACATATGCTGCTCGCTGGCAGAAGCCATGGCTCTTCATCAGCGGCCTGCAGCCTGGGCAGCGGAGCTGCACCCACGCACAGGAGCCAGCTCGCCCGTTCTCTTCTTCCCTCCTAAGCTCTTGCTCGGGCACGTGTGTCCTGTCTTGCCATCTGTCTGCTGAACAGACTTCTGTCCTTCACCACCTCACACCAACTGCACAGTGGTACCACTCAGGGACCACATGGAGAGGCTGTCCTCCTGAGAATACCTCTGTGATGGGTGAGATCGTAGCCTTTTCTGGCTCGTTTCCTGCTTTTGAAAGAAATATATGCCTTGGAGCCAGCAGGTGGCATGGTGGTTAAGGTGTTGAACTCCCATATGGCCAACTGCGGTTCAAGTCCTGGACTTGGCAGCTTGCTTTCTCACTTCCTCTCTCTCTCTGTGGACAAATTAAAATATAATAGTAATGAATAAAATAAAATAAACATTAAAAAAAAGAAAAATATGCCCATTAAAAACAAAAAAGGCCTAGTAGGTGGCATGGTGGTTAAGGTGCTGAATTCTACACGGCCAGCCACGTGGTTCAGGTCTTGGTTCCAGGGGCTTGAAAAACATGCCAGGCACATGGGTGTGTGCGTCCCAAATCCCACAAACAGAGAAGGGATTACAGCCTGCGGGGTAATTCCTCACTTTCCCCCTCTCTCTGTCTCTTTCTCTCTCTGGCAAACATAAGTACTCTATAGCAAAGACAGACAGACCAAAACAAAAAAACAAGCAAACAAAAATATGTACTGTGAATAAAAACAAAAACCCTTGCCCAGATAATGACCCTGAGCAACCTCCATGCTGTACCCTCCGCAGGCCCCAGAGCCTGTCAACCTCTCCCCTAAACCTCTATTCCCCCCGCCCCTGGAGGACCTGCCTGGCACTCCACCACCTAACGGGGGCCCTTGTTGAGTTTTCTTCACAGGGACTCACGCGTCACCACCATGGGCTTCCAGGAGGCCACAGTCTCACCGCAAGGCCAGGGTGTCTCCCAGTCTCTTTTGCTCTGCCCACCTCCTCCCCTGACCTCTGCATTTAGGAGCATGTCAGGGCTCAGCCTGGCCCTCTTCTCCTCTCTGTCCACACTCGCTTTCTCGGGATCTCATCCAGGGTTCCGGCTTTAAATGGCCTCTAGCCAAAGACTCCTAAATTTGTGCCCAGTCCACCTCTAGCTCTTGAACTCAGGCTCTAAGATTTATTTGCCTGGCTCATACCTATATGGATGCCACAGGCATTGCGGAGTCACATGCCCACCGCGGGCCTCCTGCTTTCCCCAAAACCTGGCCCTGCAGCTCCTCCACCAACTGCAGAGCCATCCACGTACCGCTTCCGGTCAAATTGTCAGCTGTATTTGTAAAACAGATCCAAAATCTGACCACTTTTCCTTTTTTAAGAAAAGATTTATTCACTTAATTTTATTTCTTCTTATTTAAACAGATTTTTTTTGCTATAGGACATGTGCATTTGCCAGAGAGACAGAGACAGAGAGAGAAAGTGAGAAATCACTCCCCAGGGGGGATGGCCATGCCACAATCCCTTCTCCTCCATTCTCCTCTTGGGAGTTTAGGCACGCACACATGTACCCAGCATGAGTTTTAAGTCACCAGGTCCAGGACTTGAACCACTATCGGTCATGTGGGAGTCCAGTGTCTTAACCATTATGTCACCTGCTGGCCCCCTTATTTATTTATTTTTAATCCACTAGAGAGAGAGAACGTGAGAAAGCACCTGCCAGGTCCTGGGCTTGAACCGCGGCCAGCCATGTGGGAGTCCAGCACCCTAACCACCACGCCACATACGGGCCCCCAACCTGACCACTTTTCATACCTCCTGTCACCCTCCAGGTTGATGCTACCCTCACACCTCACCTAGAAGACTACCACAGCATCCTCAGTGGTCTCTCTGCTTCTACCCCTGCCCATACCTTCGGTCTGCATGAAAGCCAGAATAATCCTTTTAAAATATAAGTCAGATCATGTCCCTCCGCCTGCAGCCCCCGTCCACTCAGAAAGTCAAAGTCTTTACGGTGGCTACAGAACCCTCTGTGACCTGGGTCCCTTGTGACTTCTCTGACTTCGCCTCTTCCTACTCTTTCCTTGGATCACATTGCCCCAGACCACACTGGTCACCATCACGAGTCCTCACAGGGCCCAGCACACAGGCCTTTGCAGTGGGGTTCTCTGCCCACACTGCCCCTGGGGTCCATATGGCGCACTCCCTCGTCTTCCCCAAACCGTGGCTCAGACGCCTCCTCCTCGGTGCAGCTGCCCTGACTTCTCTATATGAAACTGCAGCCTGTCTCTTCCCTACCACCAAGTAACCCCTTACCCTTCTCTACTCTTTTTTCAAGCCACCAGGTATGGGACTCGAAGCACACTGTCAGCCATGTGGGGTCAGTGTGTTAACAATCACGTCGGGCACTGGCCCAAAATTGGTTTCTTGAATGAATTCCTGGAGTAGGATTATTTTTTTCTTTTCTTCTTCTTTTTTTTTTTTTTGAGAGGTTTTTGCTTTAGGGCGTGTGTGCTCGCCAGAAAGAGACAGAGAGACAGAGAGACAGAAAGCAAGAAATAACCCACCAGGGGGGATGGGCACGCCACAATCCCTTCTCCTCCATTTTCCTCTCGGGATCTTGGGCACACATGCACATGTACCCGACGTGATATTAAGTCACCGGGTCCGGGACTCGAACCACAAATAGCTATATATAGCCATTACACCAACCCTTCTCTACTTTTAAAAACTATGTTTTTGTTATCATCTTCTAACATTTTTAATTTACTGGTTATTTTGCTTTTGTGTGTTATTTGTCTCCCACAACTAGAATGGAAGGTCTCTGTCTCTCTTCTCAATACACCCTAACACCTAGGATTGCGCCCGGCACCTGGCAGCATTCACAGAGTGCTGGCCAGTGAGTGAACAGCTCTCGGGCCTACCCCGACACCGACACCGCAGCCTTTCTGGCACAAAGACCCTTTTTATTCCAAAGAACTCTGGGCCCCAGTGACTTCCTGCCACCTGGGAGGGGCGATGTCCTCGGGGCGCCCTTTCTCCTGTCCAATCCCAGCTGCACCTGCTGTGGCACCTGCTGTCTGCCCAGCTCCACTGCAGGCTCGCTCCCCTTCTGACGCTCACCCCTGCCCAGGCTGAGCTCTGGCCGCTCACCTGAAAGTCCTCTTCATCCAAGATCTCTTTCCTCCACTTGATCAAGAAGGCTGCACACACGTAGAGATGAAAGTGGGAGAACCCTTCAGGTTCAGACTGGGAAGCAAAACGACAGAGTGAGGACTCCAGGCCCTGCTAAGGGGCTCAGTTCCCACCCTTCCGATGGTGGGCAAGCAGCACAGCACCCTAGGACTGGGCAGACAGAGGCCTGCAAGATTCAGCGAAGGCACTGCTCATGCGGGGAGGAGGGGGAGGGACGCTTGGAGCAGCGACGCCCCAGGGCAGGGGTCTCCTCGTACCTGGTAGGTGTCCCACAGGCGGATGGTGCAGCGGAGAGGAAGCTCCCGCATGAGCAGGTTGTTCATCCAGCGAAAGGCAAACTGAAGGTATTCGACCTCGTACCTCCTGAAGTGATTATGTACCTGCTCTGAAACAGGACGCGTCATTGGCCCCAGGTGCACGTCCGGGGAGGGGGACAGTCAGATCCCAAGAGGGTCACAAGACCTTCTTTTTCTTTCTTCTTTCTTTTTTTCTTTTTTTTTTTTTTTTAAGGTTTTTGCCATAGGGCATTGTGCGTTCGCCAGAGAGGGAAAGTGAGAAGTCACCTGCCAGAGGGATGACCACACTGCAGTCCCCTCTTCTGCAGTCTCTTCTTGGGATTTTGGGCAGTCAAGCATGTCTGGCATAATTTTCAAGACATTGGGTCTGGACCCTGAACTGTGGTCGATCATGTATGAATCCAGTGCTTTAACTACTACACCACCAGCAGGTCCCCAGTGCTTTAACTACTATACCACCAGCAGGTCCCCAGAGAGTCTTTAAAAATATATATACATATATATTTAATTTTATTAATGATCATTATTATTATTTTTAATTTGACCAGAGAGAGAGAGAGAGAGCAGAAAAATGGGAAAGCAAGCCGCTGGGTCCAGGACTCGAACCGCAGTCAGCCTTGTGGGAGTCCAGTGCCTCAACCACTACACCACCTGCCGGCCCCTGAAGAGCCAGACACAGAGGGACCAAACAGGCACCTGCTGTCCTTTATGCTGAGCCCCTCACCTCCCAGGAAGGCGTGGCTGACTCGGCGGCGCGTGGCCTGGCTTTTCCAGCCCACGGCGATGCCTCAGTGCCCCTCTTCCTTCCAGGCTCTGTCGCGGAGCAGGAGACGCAGGGTTCGCTTGGCTGCCTGACCTTCCTACTCATCAGAGAAGGAGCCAAGATGGAGAAGAACCTCAGAGGTCACCTCCGCCATCTCCTCCCGTGGATGAGGAATTTCTCATTACTGTCCCCAACAGATGGCCAGCCAGCAGGGACTCAGACACCGCCAGGGAAGAGGCTCGCTGGCTCCACTCAAGGACAGCCTTTCCACACGCGGCTCAAGTGACTCACCAGAAAGCACCTTGCCACGTTCAACAGAAACCGGCCGCCTCCTACCTCCCGCCCGTGGTGTCTGAGTGGTATTCTGGGACGAGCCCAAACACACCTGCTCCATGTTCTACCTGACAGCCTCCAAATAAGACTTCATAGAATTATTTTCTAATCTATAAAATGGCAATAGTCGTTCATACCTCGGGGTCTCGGGGAGATAAAACGAAGAAATACAAGTGAAGCGCTACACTGGCACCTGGCACACGGCAAATATTTCACGCAATTCTTGAAAGAACTGTTTTTTTGCTGAGCAGATGGCATAATGGTTATACTGTTGGACTCCCTTGTAGTCGACAGAGGTTCAAGTCCCGGACCTGGTGTCTTAAAATGCATGCTGGGCCCATGTACATGCGTGCCCAAGATCCCGAGAGGAGAATGGAGGAGAAAGGATTATGGAGTGCCCATCCCCCCTGGGGGGTGATTTCTCACTTTCTGTCTCTCTGCCTCTCTCTGTCTCTCCAGTGAGCGCACACACTCTATAGCAAAAATCTCTTTAAAAAAAAAAAAAGTTTTTTTTGGGGGGAGTACGATTTATTCTGTGCTTTTCTGAATTTAAAACTTTTTTGTAATGAGAAAGCTTCACTTTGACGGTGCAGACAAAATAAAGATTTATATGCAAGGAAAATATGTATTATGAAAAAAAATCCATGGATGGATTTCAAAATTCTTCACACCAAAATAACCTTGTAGTTTAATTCTATATTCCGTGTACTCTTTGAAGTCCCCTTGCACATTTAAAAGTCCACTATCCTGAAGTGCGATGCCTTTATTTAGCAGGTATCTGCAAGGGTGGAAAACACAGAGACAGGGCAGAGACGCAGAAACCACAGCCTGTGGCTCTGGCGGCCAGCCGAGCCCCCCGGGAGAGCAGCACACGCTCCGTGCGAGGCTCTGGGTGAGGAGGCCAGAGACCTGCACGTGGGCTCCGCCACGGGGCTAGCAGCTGGCCAGGGTGATGAGACACAGAGGGGAAAAACATGCCACACTCAACATCCAGGACACAGCTGCAGACCAGCGAAGGAGCTCGGAGTACTGAAATGCTACGTCATAAAGGAAGCTGCAGTGAGTGGAACGAACCGAAGACGGTTCCCACAGAAAGAGGACGTGGGAAAGGAGAGGGACACATGGCTTCTGTGTGGGAGCGTGGGCGGGCGAGGCTGTGCTTGGGTGATGAATAAATTCCTAAGTAGGCAGGCCAGGAAATGACACTTCTCGGTGAGTAAACAGCATGCTATAACTCAACCTGTACTAGACCCCACTTAACAGAAGACCTCCCTGTCAGGTTCTCTGTCCCCATGAAACTTCATCCTGACTTTCCTCCCTGGGCCGCAGTTTCTCCAGTGGTCAATGGTAGGGCTTCCTAAGTTGTGATTCGGTTCCAGATCAGAACCAAGGAAGTCCTGTAAGCCTCCTGATCCTCAAAGCCAGCTGCTTCGGGAAGAGCTGCATCAATTCTCCTAGCCCAGATAGGTCTCGGAGAGGCCGGAAAGCCAGCCAGACTCCGGACCCTGCGTCAAGCCCAGAAGCTCCGAGTCACGCCACTATAGCAAGAACAAGGTCAGAGTGCAGAGTGCAGACTTGACGCTGAAGACGAGAGCCCACGCTGGTTTCAGAGCAGACGAGGGCGTGATCAGGACAGTGCTTTAGAAAGATGCAGCTGCGGGACCAGCAGCTGGCGTAATGGCTCTGTCGCTGGACTCCCATGTAGTCGACCGCAGTTCGAGTCCTGGACCCAGTGGCTTAAACTCACGCCGGGTGCATGTGCGTGATCCCGAGAGGAGAAGGGAGGAGAAGGGATTGCGGCGTGGCCACCCCCCGGGGGTGATTTCTCGCTTTCTGTCTCTCTCTGTCTTTCTAGCCAGTGCACATGCCCTAAAGCAAAATAAAACCCTCTCTCTCAAAAAAAAAAAAAACAAAAAAAAAGATACAGCTGTGACAGACGGCTTGGAAGAGGAACGCATACAGGGGAGACAGGTCCTTTAAGAAGGAAGCTGAGAAATCTAGGCATGGCAGGACCAAGAGCTGTGGCTCAGGAAATGGAGAAGGGTGAGCCGGGGACAGAGGCTGAGGAGAACTGATAGAACCTGGTGCTAGAACGCAGGGGGACGAGAACCGGGGCCACAGCAGAGCTCCCACCTCCCCTTCCTGCCAAGGTGTGTGAAGATGCTGGCTGCCATCGGCAGCGAGAGCCCTGGGAAGGGGCATTAGCCAGGCTAAGGGAGCTGAGGGGGAGCTGCAGGTGAGAGTGGCTCCG